AAAACCAAGAACCTGGAAACTCCCCCTTGCCCCGGTAGGGTGGCAGGGGGCCCCAAGGGCTTGGAGCCACCATTTCCTTTTCCCAGGCACACCAGCAGGGAGCTGGATCTGAAACAGAAAAGCTGGGACTCTAGCCAACTTAGCCTACTGTGCCACAATGCTGTCCCCATCATTGTATTCCATATTAAAAGAGATAAAATGAGACCAGGATAAGTACCTGGCTCCTGCCATTGGCAGTGCGGTGTGCCGGCCACAGCGCACCAGCCGCGGCAGCCATTGGAGGGTGAACCAACGGCAAAAGGAAGACCTTTCTCTCTGTCTCTCTCTCACTGTCCACTCTGCCTGTCAAAAAAAAAAAAAAAGAGAGAGAGAGAGATAAAATGTTCACCATAACTATTATAGGCTTTAAAATTTTAAAGTCTTGTGAAGAATTTTTAAGAATAAAATAAAATCCTCCTTTAACTCAGTGCAACTTCTTTTTTTTTTTTTTTTTTTTTTTTACAGGCAGAGTGGACAGAGAGAGAGAGAGAGAGAGAAAGGTCTTCCTTTTGCCGTTAGTTCACCCTCCAGTGGCCGCCGCGGCCGACGCACCGCGCTGATCCAATGGCAGGAGCCAGGTTCTTCTCCTGGTCTCCCATGGGGTGCAGGGCCCAAGTACTTAGGCCATCCTCCACTGCACTCCCTGGCCACAGCAGAGAGCTGGCCTGGAAGAGGGGCAACCGGGACAGAATCCAGCGCCCCGACCGGGACTAGAACCTGGTGTGCCGGTGCCGCAAGGCAGAGGATTAGCCTAGTGAGCCGCGGCGCCGGCCAACTCAGTACAACTTCTGACACATGACAAATATATACGAACAAACTGTTTTTAGCCATCTTTAGTCTGGTTAGTTATATCAATTGGAGAAATACTCAGATTTGAGCAGGATCTACCTTGGTTATTTGTAGATAACAAATGAATTCTTATGTGTAAATGAACTGTAGCACAAATTTGTCACTGACTGCAGGTACATCAATGTTTATGGATTGGTTCAAAAGCTTAAGGAAGCGCTCATTCTGCTTTACCCGAAATGCTGTAGTAGCTTTCATGGTTCTTGGAGCTCTGCATGATTGGTCCTTCCTGGGACGTGTCTGTTTCAGTTCCGGTAGCAGTCTATGAAGGAAGCCAGCACACAGCCCTGTCTCTAGGGATGCTGCCCATTCAGAACCTCAGGTGGCTGCCAGCCACAGGCTTGCCATGGTGCCTTTTCCCTGGAAAGATTCTAGTGGGACGCATTATAAAAATGGTCTCTTCTACAACAACAAAGCTAATTAAGGTACCCTCCTGAGTAAAATGTGGCCAAGCTTTGTGTCATCGTTTTCTAAAATTCTCCTTGCCGTGGCTGGTCATAATGGTGTGAGACTAATACGCTGTATTTTATGAAACAACGGGAAGAACAACTTGCTGTAAATGCGTGGACGAAAGCGTAATTCATGGACGTGCATGATGTGCGTGTTGCTTGGTGGCCGTTCCCTCGAGTCACAGCTGATACTCCGGGGCTAAAGAAAACTTAAGTTTTATGTAATACTTTTGTCTTGTGTGAGTGTCTTACATGGGTAGCATCTGTAATTCTCATCCCTTTCCCTAAGAGGCAACTCCAGACGTTTCCTATCATGTAAAGGGGTCATGGAATTGAACTGCCGCTTGTACATCCTGGTCATTCCAGATTGCAGTAGATAAGAGCTTCATGTTCTTGTATGGAAGCTTGTGTTAATGTGTATATTAAATGGAATTTTATTTGAATATTATCATTTATTGATATGTGTCTGCTTTCCAAAGCAACATGGTACATTTGTGTAAAATTACCCTTTTGAAATGAACAAAAATCATAAAAAGTGAGCGGGAATGGGATTCACCCTATTGTTCCTGCGTGTGCTTCTGACTCAGTACCTGAAACCTTGACTGTTTTTTTCCTCTGCCTCCCAGAATGATGCTGTCCAAGATTTATATTAATTGTTTTCTGCATCTTGATATAGACGGCTAAATAGAGATGCATAAAATGAAGCTGTTTTGTGGTCTTCTGCCTTCATGATCTGCTTTAATTCAAAAGAATTGACAAATATGTCCTCATAGTGAATTATTTATTCCTTAAATCCATGAGTTATTGATTGTAGAATCATTATTGTAGTTGCAGAGCAAAAGTACTGAACTTTTTTTATCTGCTATATGGAGAGACTTTTGCTATAGTAGCAAAATTTAAAGCTTTTTATTCCTTTTGAAGGTTAAGGAAATACTTGCTGATTATGATCCTGATTTTATGGCCATGAGCCTGGATGAAGCCTACTTGAATATCACAAAGCACTTAGAGGAAAGACAGCACTGGCCAGAGGACAAAAGAAGGTACCTCTCCCAGATGGGGAACTCTGCAGACGATGGTAAGCAACTTACTGGAACCCTCAGACTGAAAGCCAGAAAAACAGCCTTTCAAACTGAGCTGCTTGACTCATTACCTGATATAAGTGTAGATGGTAGGACCAGACACATCTTTATGAAAATGGAAAATTGGAAACGTAGAATATCTCTGTGGGTCTTCCAGCATATGTTGGAAGCCACGTTTAAGCTGAATGAGATTGTTGAAGTATAGGCCTGAGTCTTCAGAGTCTCTGAACAAGGGAGTTTGCCAGCTGCTGTTTTACTGAGATCTGACTAGCAGACGGTTTGGATATGGCACTGAAGCTGAGGAAGCTTCTGCTTAATGTTAACAATATCTTTGGTTGTTGTTAAGGAAAGTAAATAAAAATTTTTTAAAGATTTATTTATTTATTTGAATGGCAGAGTTACACAGAGAAGGAGAGACAGAGAGAGAGAGAGGTCTTCCACCCCCTGGTTCAATCCCCCAGTTGGCTGCAATGGCCAGAGCTGTGCTGATCTGAAGGCAGGAGCCAGGAGCTTCCTCCAGGTCTCCCACACAGGTGCAGGAGCCCAAGGACCTGGACCATCTTCCACTGCTTTCCCAGGCCACAGCAGAGAGCTGGATCAGAAGTGGAGCAGCCAAGACTTGAACTGGCGCCCACATGGGATGCTGGCACTGCAGGCAGCAGCTTTCCCCACTATGCCGCAGCTCCAGCCCCAGTAAATAAATTTTTAAAAAGAAAAAGATTAGCCTCAAACATAGCAAAATGTTGGGTAATTTTATTTTTTCCCATTTCCCAAATTTTTATAATCTGGTTATACAGCACAGCAATAATGATTCTTTTCAACCTTGACCAAATTAATGACAGCTTATTCCCAGCATTTGCTTTGGACTGATTCTTACAGTTGTTTTATAGACAATGAAACAGTGAAATGCGTTGGCCGTCATGGTGGAATGCTTCAGTGCTGTATTAGTTCCCTGATTACATCAACAGCTGCTTCAACAGTTGGTTACAGCAGGTCCTTGCAGAAGCAGGCGATGTTCAGATTCAGGCTCTGCGGCAGCTCTGATGGTGTTCCGAAAGACAGCATTGTGGACCTCACAGTGACTCGCCTGAGGGCAGGGGAGTGCAGGCCTGAGGTGCAGACCCAGCTCCTTACAGGGTGTCTGCAGAAGGGGCTCGTGCACGACACGTGCTTGCGCGGTCTGCAGTTTCTGTACAGCTCTTTTTGCCTCGCCCCTACCTGTCAAGTTGGGAAATGGGGTCCTGATAGATACAGTTTCAGCTCTCCCCTCTGAATTGCTGTACATTGAAAACTCGACATGGAAAACATCTGTGGTGCAATTCACACCACACACTGTAAATTATGAAACTGATCAGACTCTAATCATAGTATTTATGTTTTCTTTACAAAAGTTTTCACAAAAGACCAAGTTCATTTTTCAAAACACATTCATATGTACCTTGAAACTTACATATTTAATTTTTGCTTCTGCATTTGCCTTAATTTGGAAAACATTTATATACATATGTAATAAAATTAAGAAATAGGATCAAAAAACCATTGCCAATCTCAGTTGTTATAAACACATTTATGGGGCCAGAGCTGTGGCTTAGTGGGTAAAACCACCACCTGCAGCACTGGCATCCCATATGGACACTGGTTCGAGTGCTGGCTGCTCCACTTATGATCCATCTCTCTGCTCTGCTGTGGCCTGGGAAAGCAGCAGAAGATAACCCAAGTCCTTGGGCCCCTGCAACTGCTTGGGAGAGCTTGAAGTTGGGAGACCTTGGGAGACCTTGGCTGTTGCAGCCAGCTGGGGAGTGAACCAGCAGATTGAAGACCCCTCTCCCCCTCTCCCCCTCTCCCTCTCTCCCTCTCTCCCTCTCTCTCTCTCTCTCTCTCTCTCTCTCTCTCTCGCTCTCTCTCTCTCTCTCTCTCTCTCTCTCTCTCTCTCTCACTCTCTGTCTCTCTGTCTCTATGCCTCTCT